GGCACACGTTCAATGCTGAGAGAAGAGTTTTTCTTAGTAATTCTTCTGAGTTCTTCGTCTTTTTCTTGAGATTTAACTAGCAACTCAAAATCAAATGGTGCAGAAACGGTTTCGATCCGGGAAAGAGTATCGGCAACGACATTATCGGTACCTTTGATATGTTGTATATCTGTTGAAAATTCTGCGATGAACGAAAGTTGATTGAGTTGAATTGGCGGGAGCTTTTCACGTTTTTGTTGTAAGGCGTAAATTAATGGTTTGTGGTCTGTGAAGATCGTGAATTGGTACCCTTCCAGAAAATGGCGAAAGTGTTGAATCGCAGCGTAGATAGCCAGAAGTTCACGATAATAAGCAGGCCAAGAACTTTCTTTTGTTGACATTTTCTTAGAGAAGAAAGCGAGAGGCTGCCACACGTCATCAACAAGCTGTTGTAAACAAGCTCCAACAGAGTGGTTCGAGGCATCTGTAAATAAACCAAGAGGTGCACCAATGCGAGGGTGAACAAGAAGTGAAGCAGATGAAACGCAGTTCTTGCAGGTTATGAAAGCTTCTTCAAGTTCAGGTGTCCATGTGATTGGTTGAGCGCCTTTCAATAATGGATTACTGATTGCACCGTGCAGAGGAGCTTCATATTCAGAGGCATGAGGTATGAATCTGCGGTAAAAATTCAACATTCCCAGGAAACGGCGAAGATCTTGAGCTGTTTTTGGTAAAGGGTAATCTTGAATCACCTTTACTCGTTCTTCTGGGGCTCGAATGCCAGCAGCAGAAATGGTGTAACCAATGAAATTAACCTCTTGAACTCCAAAGATGCACTTCTGTGGATTGATAACTAGGCCGTACTTTGCAAGACGTTCGAAAATAATTCGAAGATGACGCTCATGTTCTTCTTTAGAACGAGAGAAAACGAGAATATCGTCCATATAGGTGAAACAAAAGTCCAAACTACGCAAAACTTCGTCCATAAACCTTTGAAAAGTTTGGCCAGCATTTCGAAGTCCAAACGTCATGAATGGAAATTCAAAAAGACCAAATGGTGTGATGATTGCAGTTTTACCAATATCTTCTTCAGCAACTGGAATTTGTTGATAAGCTTTTACAAGATCGATCTTAGAAAAGATGATGCAACCATTGATAAAATAAGTGGCATCGTGGATATGACGAACCGGATAGCGATCCGGAATCGTTCGAGTGTTTAGCTTTCGAAAGTCACCACAGGGACGCCAAGATGAGTCACTTTTTGGTGCTAAATGCAGTGGTGAAGACCAAGAACTTTCAGAAGGACGAGTTATGCCAGCTAATAACATGTATTCAAATTCTTTGCGAGCGATTTTTAATTTTTCAGGACATAATCGGCGAACTTTACTTGTAACCGGTGGTCCAGGAGTAGTACGAATGTGATGGACGGTTTCGTGTTTGATGTTTCGAGGTAAACCCGGAGGACGAGTGATTTCAGAAAATTCAGACACAAGAGTAGCGTATGGTGAAGAATCTTGAACCACTTTGATACTGCTCTGCGAAAAAGGCTGAGATAAACCTTGTACTCGAAGACCAGTGGTTACGTCGACGATACGTTTTGTATGACAGTCCGGTAAAAGGTGATAATGAGCGAGAAAATCAGACCCAATTATCGGCAGATCGACGTCAGCGACGATGAATCTCCATGGAAAATCACGACGAAGTCCAAGGTTAAGATTTAAGTTTAGAAAACCATACGTTTTTATTTTGGTTCCGTTTGCAGCACACAACTCGTAGTTAACAGGAGAACGACGGTCTCGTAATAAACGACGAGGAAAACAGCATAAATCAGAACCTGTATCGACGAGGAAACAATTTTTGGTAACTTTATCAACAACAATGAGACGGCTACTAGATGAAGAGCAGTCAGATGCCGTCCTTACGGACTGCTTTGGTCGTTTCCCAAAAACTTGCAAGGCTTGACGCACTTTTTAGCATTTTGCTGAAACTTTTTGTGATACCAACAAACCTCGTCTGTTTTTTTGTTAGAAGAATCGTCCCGGTTTTGAGATTTAATTCGGTTACGAGAATTATGGTGATAACCGTGACGATTTCGAGAACGTGAACGAGAAGCAGCCAATTCAGCGACTTGTTTTTGCAGTTCAGCGACCGCTTTTAATAAATCGTTTTCAGTACCTTTGTTGTTCAATGCAGCGTTGACTGAGAAATTCGGAGGACAAGGCGAAACTTCGATGATTTTATCAGCAAGCTCAGAAAGTTTATCGATCGCCAACTCAGACTGTGATGCAAGGATAGCCTGGACGATTTGCGGAAGACGTTGAAGCCAAAGCCGACGTAAGAGGTTATCCGGCACAATAGTTGTACCAGCAAGCGATTGGAGATGCCGAAGAAACTGGGAAGGCTTACGATCGCCTAGCTCCTCCGCACTGATGAGTTGGCGGACACGTTGTTCCTCAGACGCAGATAATCGTTCAATTATTTTTGTGCATAAATATGTGTAGGGGTTTAATTGAGGAGGATTTTTAATAACATCCTCTACTTCCAATGCAATGCGAGCGTCTAATTGAGAAACAACGTAATGAAATTTTGTTACTTCATTAGTAATGTCAGAAAGCGTGAATTGAGAATCAGCTTGAACAAACCACAAGCTTGGTTTATCTGACCAAAACGGCGGCAATTTCACAGCGACACGATGTACTGCATGGCGTTGGTTGACGGTGTCAGCAATGACGCCTTGAGGCTGCAACTGCTGTTGTTCTTGTAGTTGCTGCTGCTGCGGCGCGGCGGTGGTTCCTGCGGCACCATTTGTTGACGTAGTTCCTCGATCTGTCGTTGAAGCAGCTCGTTTTCCTCACGTAGAACTACAAGTTGACCCTCGTCGCGAAGCATCTTGTGATGAGGCTATAATCTTCTACGATGGCGAAAAGGAAATTCACCAACAAAATACTACAATTCTCGCCAAGGCTTGAATTGTAACACAATTTTATTGTCGGGGTCACCAATATAGGAATAAATGGTTATTTGTTCGAGTATTTACTTCTATTAGTAATAAGTCAATTGGTTAATATCACAACGTCTATTTATTATGAATACAATTGACAGACTAACTATAGAAATGTTTTTTCATTAAACGAAATGAATGTTCGTTGCTATGCTCACACTTTTGTTTCTCAACCACGTTCGAATGTTGGTTCGAATGCTCGGTGCGCTCGCCACACACGTGCTCTTATGGGAGGGACGTTCACGGCGGACTTCAGACCGAAAAGAATCTACCAAAAAATGCATAGTTTGAAAAGAAAAATATAGTAGTAAAAAGAAAAATCAATGTACATTATGTTTCTGTTTGAAAAATAACCTGTTATCAGTCATTTCAGCGAAAAACTATTAATTAAAAATGAAACTTTTATAGGTTATTCAAAACTTACAATATCATCGAGCGAAATGTGGCAACGTCGCATAATGCGCTATAGCTATACTATGCTCACTGTGGCTCATAAACGTGCGTTTTGCATGATAATCGAAATTTTTATTAGAGTATACGAAATTATTAACCCATTTTTTACAATAGCATTAAAAAAATTAAAAAATGCACATGCAAATATAATTTATATTTTTTATTCATACATACTTATAAGCAATAATGAACAATACTTAATTAATAATATATCTCAAATATACAAAACTTTTTACTTTTACGTCGTTTAATCTTATTTAAAATTGTTTTGTTTTTCTTTTACAACTAAAAAGTAATGCACAATAAATAATATACGCTATATAAAACATTTGGCAAACTTTTATCACATTTTGTTTTACATTCATTTGGCTTGATTTTCCAAGAAATTCAAAATTTCTGTAAGAATTTTATTCGTTTTAATGATCGTCAGCTTTCCATTGACGACACCTTGCAATAAACTGCTTACTTGTTCAACCCCTTGAGACCTATAAGTGTTATAACGAGTCGCATTCTCGTTATGTCTCTCTCTCCCTGCAGCCAGTTTGTTTATTAATCATATTTATACTTTACCATGCATTATAATAATTTGTAATTTGTAGCGCAGTTGAAATGTCAGCGAACAAGGTAAGAGTCGAGCCCTACGATCTATACTATCGATAGTCCCTAGCGCAGATGTCGCGGAGAGACCGCGATCGCGAAGGAGAGAGAGAAGGAGAGCGCGCAATGGGTCAGTTGGCATGCGAGCAGAGACAAGTACGGACGCTAGCATAGTTTGACAGTAACACCCCTTTCTTCTGCGTTACGAGATATCTCGAGGGAGTAAGCGAGTACGCAGTGGCGATTATACGAGTCCAAGGATCGCCAGCGATAAGCGAAGGCACATAGCTGGCGCGGACAGGAATTCCGTAGGAAGCGAGAGCGCCCACGCGAGTGTAGGGCAACAGTAAGCGTGGTCACGATCTATTGTTCGTGCATTGCTGCCGTTCTAATAACCGACGACAACTACTGTAAGTACCTACTCAATTCTCTCTCTCTCTCTTAGACTTTCTCTCTCCTATTGCTTGCTGGCTGCATTTGTCGCTTTAGTTTTTCGCCCGGCTTACGCACTCTGTCATTCTGCTCGGCATTGCGTCCTGCCTCGAGCCGCTTTAAGCGAATTCGTTGTCCGATCTTGCTCGGTTGCTGACAAGATCGGCGCGCTGCGTTGCGTCGTCCCCTTGTTCGCTGCCGCTCACATTTCGCCACCACACGCGCTTGTATGTATTCGAAAGTGCCTGAAATACAAGATTCGTTTCTACCAAAATTCGCAGCAACTTATTCCGATACACCTGCCCTGTTGTATAACTACTTCGCCGCGAGACTCTTTAGGTTGTCCCTCACCAAGTAACTTGTGGCTCACGACACTCTCCGCGGGCCGAATTTCTACGTAAGGAAGGAGGCAAGCTGATGCGGCTGGACCCAAGCACTGTTCGCACTGGCGCCTTGGATAGCGCACTTCGCTTTGTTAAAATATTAATCCGCGACAACTATTTATTATATAACTGATTTAGCCCGGAAAGAGCACGAGCTAAAACCCCGTTATAGTGTCTACAATAGTTTGATAACTTATTCCAGCCGAAGATAGACGCTTTTGCATTCCATCGGAGATAACACCAGCCATAGGAGCGAACGATGGTAATAACTTCTGTTCATTTTCGTGGCTAGTTAGTGTAGCAACAACATCTCCAACAGACTTTTTAATATTTATAATATCATTGATAGGTAGACAAGCTCTAGTCAATTTTTCCAGCAAATTAACATCGAAGCAGGCATCGTGAGCTCCTTCTGTGGGGAGAGAGAGCAGCTCAGTACCTAGTGTTGTCAGCTTATATTCACTCTCTCTTTTAGGATATTTTTGTTTAAATAAAAACAATGAATCCGAAAATCCGTCGATGACTTCCTCGTATGACTCAAGAAGAGATAAACTCTGTAAACATAAAATTAGTCGACTAGAATCGAACGGACAATTGTGTGCGACAAACAAACTTTTCTTTTTTAAACTTTTCAAAAATTCTAACAATTTTCCAAAAACTATTCTTTTCGGTAATGTTGGAACCTCAACGCCATATCGGAATAGTTTTTTATGCACTTTCGTAAGGCCGTTAGTTTTTGAAGCTTCTGGGTGGATTGGTTGAGTTGGTGTTATGTATGATTTGAATACTTGTTGTCCAGCCTTGACACATATTTGTAATATTTCATGCTTGAATCTTAATCCAGCAGTTTCCAGGTCAAAAAATACTATAATTACATCATCTGTATCAAATTCTTCGACTGTTTCATTGACAATTTCCACGCAATTAACTTGAGTATCAATTGGTTTTTCTAATAGTGTCATACCACTACTATACGTTGCCTCTCCAACATTTGGTTTTTAATATTTTAACTGAGATTTTTTTGCTTTTAATTCCAACCTCCTTCTTTTTGCAGCAGGTGTTACACGTTCGGTTCTTTTTTTCTCTAAATCTCTTTCTCTTTTCATTACATATTTATTCAACAAATGTTTGTGGTTTATACCTTCTTTGTCTAAAGTACGTTGAATGTATGAAGCTCCACAATTTTTTTCGGCAACAGTAGCACCCCAACGATAATCTGTAGACTCAGATGTGCTTAATAATAAATTTTTTGGATTTTTGTGACACATTGCATTGTTTAAGCTTTCATTAGCTTGACTACTCCCAGCATCAACAAATTTGAGTGAAGTATCTGCCAATTCGTTAAACAATTTGTCCAAACTTTCGAACAAGTATGGATTTTTCAAAACAATGCCTACGTCATTTTCCTCACCTTCTTTATATCTACACCATTCACCACAATTGTTGTGCATGTTAAATAAATGATGTGGTACATTTCTCAATGCAGCATCGATAGCATTAGCATTAGTTTTATTTTGATGAACGGCATATGAAAAGCAGCGCTGAATATGTTTGATAATATCACCAGATAACTCTTTGTCTGGATCTCCTTGCTTTTGTATCCGATATAGCTCGGTACCTACGTTATTGTACGTATGGTTCATATCCGAATGCTTTACAATAGTATAGTCAATTTCATTTTGAATAGCTGCAATACTTGAACTATCGTTATCTCCAATAAAAACACCAACTTGCACATTCTGTTCTTTTAATATTTTATTTTGTGTCAGTAATTCAACAGCCCCATTAGCCTCCATCGCCTTTGCGCTTCCTATAAAATTTTTCCTGCAGTCATGTACTTTCTTCACTCCTGTATGAAGTTCAAGGTCACAGATTCGACATTTTCTATTACGTGTACAAAAATCTAGAACTTTTCCAGTCTTCAAACCTATTAATGCACAATAGCCATTGAGACTATCATACGAATGACCTGTGCCTCTCTGACCATAGCCCATATCAAATGATACAAATATTCTCACGAGAGGTTTCTCAGTATGACTAGAATCTACATTGACAATAAGAAATCCCTCTTGAAGCTCTTCAGGCCTGAGAAGAAAATAATAATAAAAAAATTAATTAACTAAAACAATATGTATAGGGCATTGATCAGCATTTTAATTTATTAATTTACATGATTGTTTTAATATTATTCATATTAAACTAATACTCATTCACCCTATGAAAGCATGGTAAAAAGATCTCGACGTATGTAAATTGATTATAATCTATAGAGTTAAAAAAAGTACATATAAATAAGTAACATACAATCACTCTACAAATTGTGTAGTATATTAATTGATTTGGATATAACATGATAAAAAAATAATGTATATACGTTGATTCAAGTGTAGATTGAAATATAACAAAATATATGAAATATAATTACTCAAAAAAATCTCAATATAAAAAAGTTAATTTGAATATAAAAAAATCTAAAATTAGAACGTAGATTACAATCACTTCAATAAATCAAGAAAAATAATAAATCTCAAGAAAATATGATGTACAGTAAAATTAATGAGAGCATTCGAATATTTTATCTACTACAATTGATTATATCTTATATATATTATATCTACAACTGCTGACGAGTGAAAGATGCTATCTATTACATGATTAGCTTACAACATCTTTTTTAATTCATCAATGCTTTCTTCAGTTAGCAGACGTTCCATGGAGGTGGCCTCCGAGCAACTTTCTTTTGCAACTGCCTCTATGACAGGCCCAATGATTCTTTCATGTTTTTTAAAAGTTTTTGAATCCATTGTAGGTATATCCAACACACTAAAGAATTTAGTTACTTGCGTATGACCAATTCCTGTGTGTACAGCAGCTGAAAACATTTTATCGTTAAAGTTCATCCAAATATCTAGAATATGTTGTCACATATATACAATTGTAATACAATACAAATAATTTTTTTTTATGGAGAAAAATTTCACACTCATTTAAAGAATAAATAAATACCAAATGCTAGTCTTGTGTTGATAGCAAACAAATTTTTTCCTGTAACAGAATTCTTATACTCTTCGCTGCTTTTGAGAGTATTTACTAGTAAACACTCATGACATCGTATACTAAAAATGGATGCCGCTCCATGTACAACTTCTTTTTCAATATATTGAATATCCAATCTTGCTTGGCAAACAGTGCAATTCATATTGTTTGACATATACGCTAAGTCTACGATACGATTGCCTTTCACAGTGCACGTTGCCTCTTCAGCTTCTACTCGTGCTTTCTTTGTGCAGCCTTTCCTCATTTTTCCACATTCTAAGCGTTGTAGCATTCGCTTGTAAACTTTCTTCGAAACAAATATTCCCTTCCATCGCTATTTATCGGATTCAGACATTTTTCAATTGTAAAAGTTACGACAACAACAACATCAAGATGACAACACTTTGAGGTTATACACACGCCGCGAACCTCGTGCTCGACGCTACACATACACGCACGTATACATATATACATAAGCCAAGGTAGACAACATGAGAAAACCAACTTTCAAAATCATGCAATGTTGCCGCATCTTCGCTTCATTTTTACATTTGTAAATTTTATACACAAATGAAAATATAACAATTAACAAATATTCTAAGTAAAACTTATTCCATAATAGTTTATTTTCGTCGGTTTATAAGCTTATACACGCATTTAATGATATAAAACGAGAAATGAAATTTTAGTTATTTAAAGTTAGTAGCATTGATTTTATCCCATGTTAAAGCATAGGCTGCTTTCCCCTTACCTCATACCCCTCATGACTGTCCCCATCCTCCTTAATGAGGTATCTGCATCGAGTAATGCCATTATTATTAATGAAGATACTTCGTCACTTTTTATTATTGGTAAGCTATAATTATAAAGGGATGAAATAATGAGAGTTCCTTGTGTTTATTCTTTGAATTTACTTTCGGGATTACGACTCAAAAAATCAGCTACTGTATTGGTCCTGCATCTACAGTGTACCACGGTGTATGAATACTGATGTAAATACAGAAACCATCTTATCAGTCGTGAATTGTGAAATATGATCGAATTTAGAAATGTTAACGCTTTATGATCCGTCACGATTTCAAAAGTCTGGCCGACTAAAAACTCCCTGAATTTCGTAATACTATACACGATGCTTAAAAGCTCTAATTCCATCGTTGTATATCTTGTTTCAGTTTGTGTTAAGCATCTACTGGTGTAGTATCGCTACATTTTTTATCATCGACACGATCCAGCGCCTGCGTGGGCAATTCGTAATGTATGCGTGTGTATGTGTGTGAGGGTGCTGGAGCCTTAGAAATACTTAGAGTGGCGGCAGCACCTGCTGGTGCTGTCGTCAATCATCGTGGGCACCTCGAGCTCTTTCGGCTTGGCCGGCAGTCGTCGACGACATCGTCCCGTGTGCGGAGCTCCCTCACGAATTACCGTACAACGTACGGCGTGCATCTCGTGCAAAATCTCTAATCGATTCAAACGATTTCTTCGGCCACCCACGTGGTTACCGACACCTCGTGTGTGTATGTGTGTCAAAGGTTTATTTCATTGTTCTCGTGATTGGCGTATGATTGTGTGTTAAAGTGTCATAAAAAAGTGTGAAAAAATTCGAACACGTGCATACGTGCGGCACCGGCATTGTCTTCGCCATGACGTCATCCGCGAATAAAAATTCTTTGTTCGCTTCAATTTCATTGTTTCCTCGTGTGACTGATTGTTAATAAAAAGGGTTTTTTATGCCGTAATGGGCTTTTTCCCTTATACCGTCGTACTAATTATTTTACCCTTCCTAAATATTCGAGTTTTGAGTAATTTCCCCCGGGTTTTCAAAAATTTCAACTTTAATTACGTTTAGAAGCAAAATTGGCGCGAACGCATTCAAGAACTGGGCTCGGCTATCTCGCCGGTAACGAGCCGTGACAATTCAATTGGCAAGGGAAATTATACGAGTACCATGCTCATTGTTTACATCTATTTGATATAAAATGACTGCTATACCACTATTGCTTGCATCCGTTTAAACTTTAAATGGGAATAATAATCCGTTTGAACTTTTAACGGTAATAATTACATACTCCAAGTATGTGCTGTAGTTGTTGTTTGTTTTTGGGATTTTCGAAATCGATTTTTGTCGCGACACGTTCTGGATCAGGAATTATGCCATTATATGATACGATAAATCCAAGGAATTTTATTTTATCTAGTAAGAATTTATATTTTTTTAAGTTTATTATGAAACCATTTGCCATTAATTTTGAGAAAATCACTTGCAAAGCTTGAATATATTTTTCGAATGTTTGAGTACCGATTGCACAGTCATCGACATAAGTTGCTGAATGTTTTTGTATATTTATTTCGTTTGGAACGATGATTTGATTATTTCCTTTCTCAGCGTTATTTTCTACTTCCGGTTGTTTCTCGAAAATGTTTATAATGGGAACCTGGCTCTATAACACCGTTGTAAAAACTCGAATGAAACGCTACCCGCTATGCTTATAACAAATGGTACACGTATGAATTGATACATTCGACCCTTAAAAATGAACGCTGTCAGTGGCCGTGATTCTTTAGCGAGTAAAATTTGCCAGTAGCCCATCGTCATGTCTATCTTTGAAAAAAATTTGCATTTGAAAATATTTGCATGTCTATTATTATTGGTGGTGCCTTGTGGTCTTCCAAATATTTGTTTAAATTTCTCGCATCGAGACATACCCGTATCGCGCCGTCGCTTTTACGTACGATTCGGAGGAGAGTACAGTACTGACTTAGAGCTGGTTCAATGATTTTTGCTTGACACATATTTTCTAAACATATCTCGACCTCGTCGCGTAACGCGTATGGAACTGGATATGATTGATTTATTTTGGGGTTTGGAGATTTTAAGCGGAATTTATGAGTGTAATTATTCGCGCATCCAGGTTTGTCTAAAAATAAC